CCCCCGCCCCGTTGCAAAGTTCCCCGCAAAGTAATAAATTTGACTAAAATAATCGGTTTCCTCCCAAAGTACGTATGAAATACATACGTTTTGAGAACAGGCTATCTCCCATTTGGCTTTCCATTTTTTTGTTGCGTGCCACACAATTATTGTCAGCCCTATTTGCATTTTATTTCTCTTTATTTGCCCGGGCGGTCGCTCTGCAAGCTGAAATATACCCCGACATAATGCACCCGTCTCGAAATTGCACCAGGAAAAGACTAGGTGTACCCTCGGCGTAATACTGTTAGCCGTTGTGGGTTTATTTATCTTCTTCCTGTTTGTTTACGATTAGCCCCCAAAGTGCATTATATAACGGAGCGACCGCCCACTCCTACGTTTGTCGCATACCTCCAGCTTCTTATTCCTTCATGTTAGGCTACCGGCTCTGCAGCGCGCGCGCCGCGTGTGTGTGTATGTATGTGTGTGTGTGTGTGTGTATGTGTGAATGTGTGCGTGTGCGTGTATGTGTGTGTGTGTTTGTTAGTGCTTTCGGTATTTTTTTCATGTAAACCTGTTGAATATTTCACTGGCTCTTTCGTCTGAAGTGCGCATGTTCCATCTTTACTACTTCACGGCCTTTGACGTCTTCGTGACTCAGTCTTTCTGTCTTCCTCTTGGTATCTGTTTACGCTATCTGTTTTCGGTCTACCTTTCTTCCTCTGCCCCCCCCTCTCTCTCTCTCTCTCTCTCTCTCTCTCTCTCTCTCTCTCTCTCTCTCTCTCTCTCTCTCTCTCTCTCTATCCCCGATGTGTGTGTGTTTTGGTGTGTGCATGTGTTTGTCACGCTTGTGCACATATATTGTCAAACACTAAAATTTTAATCTTTTTCTCATCCACTCTAGCATCCTTTACCTCTCGTAATTCTATCTGGCCTCTTGCCCTCGACATGTCCTCGTTATCTGTTTACCCCAAACACTTAGTACAGAGCTCTTTCTTTCCCACCGCCCCTTTTACAGAGCTGTTACCTATAGCCGCTGCAACGGCGCCAGCGTGGTGTCATTGTCTGCGCTTTGGGAATGTCCAATTTTGTTTAAATTCAAATCTTCGTTATCTCTACCCAAACTTGCTCCATTTTATATTCTGGACGTGTGGAGGGGATAACTTCCCTTGCTTTGTCTTGGTGGCTCTGACAATCGATTATTCTAATTATTCTGGGCTGTCTCTTACTTACGGCCCAAGAGGACAGTTAAGGAAAGAGAATTGAAATTGATAATATAGTTGCTTAGTACGCAATACTCTAGTTACACTTCATAAACGTAGTCTTTGGGTTTTCCACTGACGGATGTTTTCTGTGGTGTTCTGCGTCTTGCTGCACACATGTCAAGTAATATTGTGTGTGGTTGTGTGTGTGTGTGTGTGTGTGTGTGTGTGTGTGTGTGTGTGTGTGTGTGTGTGTATGTGTGTTGTGGGCTTCTGGTGTTGATGGCCGTCGTTTCCTGCGTATGCACCTTCGTTAACAGAGTCGTGGGCATTTGTTGGATGCTCTGGTGTGGTCTTCTCTTTTTGCTTCTTCTCCGTGTAACTGTTGTCCTCGTCTGTTTCCTGGCGAAATATGACCATTATCGTGCAGATTCGATATATATTTTTAAAAACTACAACCCAGCCTTCATGTCGTAGTCTGATAGATATGCTGGAGACGTAGAAGTCGTTAAGTTCTTTTTTTTTCGCGGTGTCATTAGGTGCGCGCATTACTTGAAACACCGTCTTCTATTGAGAGAGTGTTCACAGGAGTTGAATGTCTTTATGGCGGGTTGATTGCAGAGGCTTCGTGTCGGAGATTGCTCCATTTCCTTCTTTCTCAATGTTGCTATTGTTTTAAAATGTTTGAAGTTGTTTCTCGCGCTGTAGTTAAAGGTGGGTGGGGGTAGGGGTAGAGTCCTATTTCTTGCACCTTAGTCTGCTACTGACTTCTTTATAAATGACAGATAGACAGATGGATAGATAGATAGAGATAAATATATAGATAGAGAGATATAGATAAATAGATATACTAAAAATATAATAGTGTGTCCTTGTGCTTGTCCCCAGACGAAAAAAAACTAAACAAACAAAACAACTCATCTCTGAATGGTCGACAGTGACATACTGAAAACTCAGCATCCAAGCACCTGGTATTATGCTTCACTGTTTTTCTTTCACCGCCTACGGAGCTACTTCAATTTCTCTTTTATATTAAACGAGGGAGAAAATACTGGTGCGGATCGTTAAAAGTTGCCGCAGGCAGGTCATTGTTTTTCCCTACCTTCGGTTGGTTCTGTGTATGCTATTGATTTTCCTTAAAAGCAACGTGACCACCATTATGGCCGTTTGCTTCTCTTGGAATTAAACAAAAAAGCGTCTCACAGGTTTCGGATAACGTTTTGCGATATTAACTCTCCTGTAGCGAGGCTCAAATGGTTGTTTATTGTGCTGCATGCCAAAAAAGATTAATTTGAAGATGAATAATATCCTCGTTTTAAGGACCTAGAGTTGTGAATACAGTCAACTCTATATAGGACTGCCATCCATTGTCGAGGAGAGAAGTGGCCACATTTGACAGGAAGCTGAATTACACAGTGCCATTGCATTGTAAGAATACGCAAAGGGGAAAATGGTAATTGGTCAGGTGATTGTCTTGTACAAGTTCCCGTTAGAGCGAGGTCGGCTGTACTTTCAAGAGACTCAAAATGAGACGTTTGGTCAAATGAAATTATCAAACTTGAATTTCTTTTTCTTGTATAAGTTGTACGCAACCGTATATCGGAACAGACGTTTTAACCCAGTACCGAAAATAAATTTAAATAGAATGAGCAGTAAAATATCGCTTCCATGAAACACAAAATAGTGATGCCTCAGTTGTTGTATATCGTTAAAAGATTGGTTCGAAATGTGAAAATATGCAAAGACAAGTTAGAAGAGACAAGTTTTGGCAACCCAAGTTGACGAGCTCACAACCTCAACAGCGTTTTCCTTTTGGCTTTGGTCCTGTCCTTCTGTCTGAAACACATCAGACAGTATGTGTGTAATAACTGTGAAACGCAGGTGCACCAACGAGTGCAAAGATGCCGGTTCGGAAGGAGGAAGTCCTAGGATTCACTTGGCCTCTCGGTGGGTTGAAGTTTTCGAAATGAAATGTCTTGGCTGGACGTGGCTTTTGCACCCGCGGGTCTTCACACTCGTCTTGTTCTATCAGCGTTGGATCGTCCCATGGGATGAGAGCCAGATGCGCGCTAGGAACCTCGGGCCGCGGCACTCAGAGAGCGGCTCTTGTCAGATAGATCGGTGCTGAGTCGGCGCAAGGCGAAAAGAATTGAAGAGGAAACGAGGAGAAGAACGAGAGCAAAAAAATATCATGTCGTAAATAATGAAAAATCTCACTATGAGATGTCCCTTTGTGAGTTGTTCTTTTTCTGCTTTACTGTAATTGTTTTATTTTGAGCGTCTCTCGATCGTATTTGTTATTCAGTCTCTGAGAAGTTCGTGTGAGAGTCAAATCGGCTTTATAACAACAAACCGACTGATAACAATAAAAGTTCAGTAGGATAGGTAAGAGATAAGACGTACCTGTGACTCCTTCTAGTCTTCTTCGTGTGTTCTTCCCGTGAGTCAATGCCAGGCCTGTAAAACTAGGTCAGTCCCAGGGGGGAGCGGTTTCCCTATTAACCTCATCGAGCTGCGTGTGTTTATACTCTTGTCACAACCCTCGCCCAAGCACTCGGTTCGAGAGGAAGAAGTGATGAGGAAGCATGCCTTGTTAAGTGGATTCAGATATGTCAGAACAACTGGCCTCACTCTGCCCACGAGCCTTCACAGTTTTGTATTGAACGTTTATCACCAGAACTTTTGGGAAATGGTATATTAAATGCGTGACTCGTTATGTGAAGAACCACTTTCTGCTGAGGAGTACAGTATTTTTCAGGGGATTTTTTAAGGCCAAAATTATTTAAGATATAGAGTTTTACTCAAATGTTTTCTTTAAAAATCCTGTTTCTGGTATCAGTTCGGTTG